ATATATATATGTTGCTCCCAAGAAGCATGTCTTTTCTGGGGGAATTTTTTTCTCTTATTTTTATTCTCTGTACCAGACAGTGGCATTATTTCAGCACTGTGTGCTTAACAAATCAAGAAAGTCAACAAGCAAAGGATGAGAAAAGTGTCTAGTCTAAAAAACAATCTACAGCAGATGAATGGCAAAGTTTATGTAATAAACTATGTTTTCTTAGGCATTTTTTAGATTTATAAAAAGAAAGTATAACAAATTGTTTTTATGACTTATCTGTTTTGAACAAATTGCATGAAGTCCAGTTTAAAGTCTTTTTTTTCCCTTTTTTTTTGCTAACACAACACTGGCTTTATTTTTTAAGTTTAGACATTTTTATGCATGGATAATTCAATGGTCAGAGTTAAAACGGTCAGGTGCTGGACTGAAAAGATGGCAGTCAAAGTCCAAACAAAAACTGCTGATCAAGATCAATTCAAAAAGATTGCAACAAATCTGTCAGCTTATAGCAAAATTCAAAGCAGTGAGGGATGACTTGAGACTTTTGCACAGTGCTTTTCAAAACAAAACACCAAATCGTCATYTTAACATTTCAAACCTATGCTCTGCTTTGTTGCGTTTAATCATACACATTAAAATATAAAGTTGCGTATCGGTCTTGTTCCTGCAGGTGCAGGCTCTGATCCAACAGGAGGTTCACAAAGGCTTGGTGAAAAATGAAGCCAAGATGCGGAGTTTAATAGAAACATTGCAGAAGATGAGCAATGACTTCAACTTTGAAAAATCCATCCACAAACTAGAGGTGCACTGAGGGGGGCGGGGATATGTTTTTGTATTTCTCTCTTTTTTTTTAATTGTGATTGTCTACTCCTTATCTTTATGTCTTTTATATGGTGGTCTTTTTTGTCAGACTCAGCTCAACACTGTGTCCAGGAAAGCAGAGTCAGTGTTTGCTTACATAGCAAACCTCCAAAAAGAGGTATACAAACATATTTACTCATAATGAGGTGTCGATTTAAAGTAGAGCAGCACAGTTACAAAGATAAGAGGTCTATGTTTGTAGGTAGATCCCCAAAAAAGAAGAAAAGTCCACAGTCCACAAGCTTGCAGTATTTGTATACTAAAACAAAACACAGCATTCCTGCTCTAAGCAGAGTCTCTGTAAAACACTAACAACTTCTTTCTACTATAATAATGAATTGACTTTATAATGCATTTCTCTTCCTGGTTACACCCCTGAAGATGTTACTTTTTATGTCAGATGTAGAACATAACTAATTTTTCTTTAAGCTAAAAGAAAGAACACATAAGACACACACCAACTCTTTGTCTGCTTTAACCTTACTTGCAATGATCAGAAAGTATAAAATACAATACTGAATCTAACATTCAATTAATCAGTTACAAAATTTCCTTCATAACTGTGTATTCACTGACATTCAGCTCGTCTCGTTTGTATCTAAATTGAAAGTCAACATGTAGCTTGTTCTAATATTCTTTTAGAGTTTATCGTCTTCCCTTGCTTCTGARGATAGCAGCAGGTATGTGAACTTTTACAGAACTTATAATTTTTGGTAAATGTTACGAAGTCCCTGTGATTGTTTTGTCATTTATTTTTTAATTCCTATTAAAATAATTGCTGTTATTCAACTCTGTAGGGGAGCCTTCGGGGAGGCCTATATGGAAACTCTGCCACAGAGTAAGAGACCACCACATATGTTCGCATAGCTAAATAACATAACTTTATTGCAAATTTATTTAACCTTATGCACTTTTATATCTTAGGCAGTAAACAGGAGCTGGAAAGGAAGTGCGCCATCAAGAGTGACGAGCTTGTCAAAATGATTGTAAT